CGCTTGCTAGTTGGGGATGCCAGCGTCTGGGCTGCTGCTCCGCTGGGAGTTGCTGTTAGGCATGTAATCTGTGGGTTTTAATTATTTTTTTTTTTTCCTCCTGGTTATTTTGCCCTCTGAGGTTCCAAGGCTCGCCGCAGACCTGCCAGAGAGAGTGTTTCCTGGTATTTGGAAACCTCTCTTTTTTAAGGCTCCCTTCCCAGGATGGATCTCCATCCCTACCTCTTTTGCTCTCCTTTTATCTTTTAATGGGCTGCCTTTCTGGGTGCCTGATGTCAGAAGTTGTTTTGTGGAATTTGCTCGGCGTTCAAATGTTCTTTCGATGAATTTGTGGGGGAGAAAGTGGTCTCCCCGTCCTATTCCTCCATCATCTTAAGACCGCCTCTATCCTGTGGATAGAAGTTTTAAAGATGTCTTAATACATTCAATACTTTTTAAAAAATTACCCCCCGCCCCATGTATGTTTATATACAGAAAAGCTCTCTGGAACATATAACCTAATGCAGTTATTAACACTTCATGTATGTATAGGTATTTCAGGACCATTGCATCTCAGCAGGCCCATCAGTGTACTAGACCTGCAGATAAAACTTGTCGCAGATTCCATTCTGGAACTGTTTTATTATTATAGACTACTAATAAATTAGGGGCTTCCCTGGTGGCTCAGATGGTAAAGAATCTGCCTCTAAATGAGGGATACCTGGGTTTGATACCTAGGTTGGGAAGATCCCCTGGAGAAGGGAATGATTACCCACTCCAGTATTCTTGCCTGGAGAATTCCATGGACATAGGATCCTGGTGGGCTACACAGTCCATAGGGCTGCAAAGAGTTGGACACAACTGAGAATCTAACATAACATAACAACACTAATAAATTATCCCACAAGAGGTCACCAAAGCTCTAGTTATTTTTGGAATGTGTTTTTGCTTTTTTTTTTTCCTACTTTTTGTCGTGTGATATTTCTACTTTTTGTCCGTCCTGCAAAGGAATTGAAAATGATTTTGTTTCCTGGTTTTCTGCCTACTCACTAGGCAGATCTGTTAGTCTGTTCCAGCTTTACCTGAAGGTAAGTAACTGAGAAGCAGGGTTTAGTTAGGGGCAGTGCGGCTAATGGAGGTGTGTAGCCAGCCATTGCCATTCCATGGGGCTGTTCATTGTCTGAAGACCCACTGGAGGGACTAACTTGAAAAGAAAGGGAAACACAACCAGGCACCTTCTGACTTCAACAACTCGGCTCCTTTAGCCATAAATTAGACCTTTTTAAAGGCCCTGGGTTGACATTCCAGATTCTTGCACATAACAGAAAGATAGAACAGAGATCTAACAGAAGCCTGAACTCAAGGAATAACTGCCTGGGGAAGACTGAATAAAGAAATACAGAAAGTACGCTCAGTGATGGAAAGTTGCTGCTAGATTTAACTACTTCTTGGGAGGATTTTTAGACATGCAGTCAGTTTCCTATAAAGAATTTGGTTTAAAACAAGGTGTTCTTTTAGGAACAACTTCTATTTTCATAGCAAACCAGAATGTGAAAAAAGACACTTAAAATTGCATTTTAGAAAAAGGTAAGTTTAATTTTTGAATATATCCTGCACACCCTTATAAGCATAGAACCCTAACATAAAAATAAGATCTTCCTTTGCTTTCTCCATTCCCCGGATCTCAGAAGAAATGATGTTTGTTTTAGGGCTTTTGAATAGTAACATTATTAACTGTATATCTTCCTAGCCAGGGTCACTGGTTGCATGTTTTTTAATGGATATATTATACAGTGTTGGGGATATAGGCGGAACCTTCTCTAATGATATTTTCACTTTATTTATCTAAAGAAATATTTGAATATTTATCTAAATATTTAACTTAAAATAGTGCAACTTAAATGTTTATGAACAGTTTTATTTTTGTGAATCAAGTGTTTGAACACTAATATTTCCATAAGGGTGTGTGTCATTCAGTCATGTCCGACTCTTTCCAGGCTCCTCTGTCCATGAATTTCTCCAGGCAAGAATACTGGAGTGGGTTGCCCTGCCCTCTTCCAGGGGATCTTCCCAACCCAGGGATTGAACCCAGGTCTCCTGCATTGCAGATGGATTCTTTACCATCTGAGCCACTAGGGAACCCAGTGTTTTCATATGAATAGTGTTAAAATTATAAAGAAAATTAGAATTGTAAGGATGAAAAGATCTGTAATGATTCCAACCCTATGAACATAAAGGGATTTAGATAAGATTATTTCCCTTATCCTTTCCAGCTGGGAAATATAATAACTACTTAAATTTCATATTTTGGGCTACAAAATGTCCATTTCCATTTCAGTGAGATTGCTTTGGGTGAAGTGCTTTTCTGTTTGAATAGCTGTCTTGTTGGGAGTTAAAGTTGTCTTGACTTGGGAGTTAAAATTCAGATCACGAAACTCTAATTTTCTACACTTACTGAGATTTGTTTAATGATTTCCTTGGCAATTTTTAAAATGTATATTTCCAATTTCTGTGTTAATGAATACACTGTTTCATGAAATGCTTTTGTAATATGCTTAGCATAATTTCTTCCCTCATTTCCTTTTGGAGTATACAAGACTCAGAGACTTGTATCAAGATGCTCACAAACTAAAAAACCCCTAAATAATAATAAAGGGATTGTTGTTCAGTCACTCAGTCACGTCTGACTCTTTGAGACCCCACGGACTGTAGCATGCCAGTCTTTTTCATGTCCTTCACCATCTCCCGGAGTTTGCTCAAATTCATATCCGTTGAGTTGGTGATGCCATCCAACCATCTTGTCCTCTATTGTTCCCTTTTCCTCCTGCTTTCAATCTTTCCCAGTGTCAGGGTCTTTTACAATGAGCCGGCTCTTTGCATCAGGTGGCCAGATTATTGGAGCTTCAGCTTCAGCATCGTCCTTCCAATGAATATTCAGGGTTGATTTCCTTTAGGATTGACTGGTTTGATCTCCTTGCAGTCCAGGGGACTTTCAAGAGTCTTGTCCAACACCACAGTTCAAAAGCATCAGTTCTTCAGTGCTCAGCCTTCTTTATTGTCCAGCTCTCACGTCATCTGTACATGACTACTGGAAAAAGCATAGTTTTCACTATATGGACCTTTGTCAGCAAAGTAATATCTCTGCTTTTCAATATGCTGTCTAGGTTTGTCATAGCTTTTCTTCCAAGGAACAAGCATCTTTTAATATCATGGCTAAAAGAATTCTTTCAGTATGCATGAAATGAAAATTCTGAGTTATAAGAAAGCATTGTTGTAATTTTATTGACAGCTTTTTCTGATTCCTTAGCATTTCTTAAAAATCATAGTGTACCTAGAGAGGTGAGATGGGGAGGGAGATAGGAGGGAGTTTCAAAAGGGAGGCGATATATGTATACCTATGGCTGATTCAGGTTGAGGTCTGACAGAAGACAGCAAAATTCTGTAAAGCAATTATCCTTCAATAAAAAATAAATTAATTAAAAAAATCATAATCGATGGTGTCTTAGACTTGATGAAAAGCAGCACAACACATGTGTGCTAGGTACTGTAATAGCAAGAAGTGGGCCCGCTCTAGAGCAAATAGGAGGTTTGCCTGTTGTCATGGGGAAGATTTACTGCCTTAAGCAGAAGTTAGGTGAAGAAGGGGGTGATGCAAAGGGACCCGCCGACAGGGAAGCGTTCCGAGAAGAGGGAGTTACAAGTGTGGAGGCCGCGAGGCTGCTGATCAGGAAATGGAGAAATGGAACCAGTTTTTTCCTGGGGGAAATGGGCGGGGAGGGTAGAGATGCAAGCAGAGGAAGCTGAGTTGATAGTTTTGCCTTTGCTGCTGTTACAGACCCACTCCAGTGTTCTTGCCTGGAGAATCCCAGGGATGGGGAAGCCTGGTGGGCTGCCATCTATGGGGTCACACAGAGTCGAACACGACTGAAGTGACTTAGCAGCAGCAGCAGCTGTTACAGAGCAGAGGGAAGTACCTCCATACCTCCAAGGCAGCTTTGGGAGCTGACAGTCCCAAGCCCACAAGGACACCTGACCTTGCCTGAGACCGGTTTTCTGTTGAATTAGGTTCAAGGACAAAGGTGACTCTCTCAGTGGATTTTCCTGAGCGAGTTTGGCCTCACTTAAGGAATGGAAGTGTTAGTTTTGATAGCTTACCAGTCTGCACATTGTTATTCCCCTCAGTGATGCCTGGGCCGCACTTACAGAAATTGAGTTCACTCCAAAGTGGGGAGAAGCATGGACATTGGAATTCTTTACCCTCTCCCCCGTGATACTACTGTGCAGCTTATTCTAAAGACACAGGCTCAGGATCAGAGTGAGCTGGGGTCGATGAGCAGCTGGTGAGCAGTAAATGTGAATTTCAGCGCCCATCCACAGAGGAAGTATAGTATCATTCGAATTCTTGTCCCTTTAGATGAAGGCAGTTACTAGGGGTGGGGGGTGGGGGGGGGATTAATTTCTGCCATTATCTTGTGAGCCTTGGGATTCACCAGACGTCTCTGATCGTCTTGAAACTCTCTCAGGCTAAGATGACAGATCTCTCTAGCGGGTGTTTCGGATTGAAAACTTTCACATTCGGGCCCTTAGAGATGCACTTCCCATAGCAGGCCTCAAGGTGGTGCTGCTGAGCTAGTTGTTCGGTCAGGGTTTAGAGGCGGTAGCGGGAGCAGAGCCCTTCCCTCCTTTTCACACAGTCGGGGGCTCTTCCAGGGGAGGGAAATAGCCTAAGGTTGGTGTCTAGGTGTTTGATGTCGAAGCTCAAAGACACCATATGTGTGTCGGGTAAGAAAGTGGGCACTACTCATCCATGGTGAGATGACTGGTGGTATCTCTGCTATCTTTTGACACAAATAACGATTCCTGTTGATTAACCTTGCTTCGTCCCAGCAGCGAGAAACACAGCTCAGCGAGGACCTTGAGTGAACGTTCACAATGCTGGCTATAGACAGGGGAGCGGACGTATTCTAGAATGAGAGGAGAAGGTTTGCAGAGGCTGAGGGTAATGCGAGGCCACAGCTTACCAACAGCACCAATCTCCGCTCCTTGAGTGTAGCGCCGGGGCATGTTGGCTGGGGCCCCTACGACAACATCCACTCACAGGGCATCCAGCTTGGGCAGTGTGTGTCTCGACCAGCTGTTCTTGCATCTTTTATTCAAAGCTGTGTGACACCTCAGTCTATGATAGCTTGCACATGGAGCCTTATTATTTTGAAGACTGATTTATAGTTCAACCCATGAAATATTCTCTGCTTGAGAGTGGGGCCGAGGCACTTAGGGTATTAAAATAGTCTCATAGCTGGTCTCCCTGCTTCCAACCCTCCCCCCCTCCACCCCCTGCCAGTACCCCCACCCCAACCCCCTGCCAATACCCCCACCGGAACCCCCTGCCCTGGCAACACCTTCATTCTCAACAGTAGTTGGAATGATCACTTAAGAGAGTGAGTCAAATTGTGTCTTCTCCACTCAAAACCCTTCTATGCTAGTAGGAGTAAAATCAGAGTTGGTACCATGGCTCCATGGCACTTAGTGATTTGTGGTCTCTTCCCTTCTACTTCTCTGACTTCATCTTCTCTTGCTCATGCCCACACTCACTGTGCTCCCACCACTTTAATGCCAGTCACATGTCTGCCCCAGGGCCTTGACACTTGCTAGTCTCATTATTTAAAATGTTCTTCCCCCAGCTATTCGGAGAGCTCTTCTCCAATTCTTTGCTTGAACGTTGTCTTTGCAGTAAGGCGTTCCTTGGCCACCTATTTAAAATGACACCCAGCATTCCCTAACTCCTTTTCTTGCTTTATTTTTCTGTTTTTCCCCATTTACTGTTAATTAATAAGCTCCCAGAGAGAGGGATTTCTCCCTGTTTTGTTCTCTGGTATATTCCCAGAGCCTAGAACAAAGAGTGGCGATCAGTAACTAGTTCTTTGTTGGATAAATGAAAGGATACTTGGATTAGCCTCAAGTTCTTGATGTCAGCAACACTGGGAACTGGGCTTTGACCACAGGTTCCACATCCAGAATGTGCAGAGCTATTCTGATTGGTGACTTTCTTGTTTTGCTGATGCCACAGCAAATAGACAGATAGATGTGTTATGCTTCCCAGACAACTCTAGTGGTGAGTGACGGGTGTTTAGGAGCAGCATTAAGGAACTGGAGATGGACCATTCATTAAGCTTCTAGCTTTTGGATGAATTCTAAGAGTTCATTGGACAGCAGCTTTTCAACCCTTCCTGGCTTAAAACTGTGAAGCATAACAGTACTCAGGTGAAGATATTGTGTTGGTTGCTCCGCACTCCATTACCCTAATTTCCTTAGAGGGACCCAGTTCTTCATTATTAGTCTGTGTACTTCAAAGGAAGTGGGTTCCCCAGGGCAGAAGTTGGCAAATTATTGCCCATGGGCTAAGCCCTCCGTTCTACCTGTTTCATAAAAACCTGTTAGCTGAGAATGGTTTTTATATCACTGTGTGCATGTTCAGTCACTCAGTCGTGTCCAACTTTTTTGAGACCCCATGTAGTCCGCCAGGATCTGTTGTCCATGGGACTTCCCAGGCAAGAATGCTGGGGTGGATTGCCATTTCCTTCTTTAGGGGATTTTCCCGACCCTGGGATTGAACTCATGTCTCCTGCATTGGCAGGCAGGTTCTTTACCACTGAGCCAATAGAGGGTTCCTTTTATATCTCTAAATGGTCAGAAAAAAATCAAAAGACGAATTATATCTCCTGATATGTGGAAATTATATAAAATTCCAATTTCAGTGTCCATAATAAAGTTTCATGGTAACATAGCCATGATCACTCATTCATGTGTGGTGGCTTTTGTACTAAAGGACAGAGTTAAGTAGTTGTGACAGACTACATGACCTGAAAAGTAAAAAAATATTTACTATATTTGACTTTACTGCAAAGTCAAAAATATTTACTATTTACAAAAAATAGTAATATGTATTACTATTACTGTAATAGCTCTTTACAGAACACGTTTGCTCTCTCCTACCCTAGACTATCAGTGTATGATTGTAGTCCCATGATTGCAGTGGGTGGTTTAGCACAAGACCCGGGATTACATGTCCAGACCTTTGTACGAGTTATTGAGAAAACTGGCTATCTCCTTTGCTGCCTCAGGTGAGAACCGCAGAGTCCTGAGAACCGCCAGGTGGCTCCTAAGGATGGGGTCCTAATCAAGTTTGTCTGAAACCATTCCAACTCTGGAATTCTCAGTGATGCAAGTCAATACCTTCTTTTTCATTTTAAATTAGCTGGAATTGGCTTTTGTTGCTTGTAGCCAGAGAAACTTAAGTGACAAAGTCATTTGGAAGAAATCCTACCTTAGGTACGTAGGGTCAGGGTTAATTAGTTCCCAAGATCTTTGCCTTATGGTGAAAACAGCAGACGCCTGGCAGAAGACAGGAAATCTGTGTTAATCGCACCCTCTATGACCTGAGTTTGTCCAGTTCTGGGAGAAATCCTAGAAGCTCAAGAGATGCAATTAGTGTCTAAGACTTTCAGTTTAGAGCAAGTCTGTGTCTTCCCTAGGTGTAAATACCAAGAGACTTCAGGACTTGGTATTTTTATATCCTCTTATTGGAACTACCCATATGTGATTTATCTCATATAAACTCTTCAGTCTTTATGTAGACAGTAGCAGCACTACTGTATTTTTTAAATTCAAATGAAATGCATGAAGGTGTTCAAGAGGGAAAATCTTTGTAATATGTTCCATTATTCTGTTTGAATTGAATATTCAAAGTATTAGACATTATCAGATATAGACTCATAATCAAATAAGAATATAAAGACATGTACTATTTTGATTTTGTAATATTTTTAGAAATGTAAATCAATTTTCCCCTCTTATTAATTCCACACCCTGCCATTTAAACTGCAAAATAGCTTTCTACTCTATATCTTAGAGAAAGGTTGTGACATGGTAGAAACAAAACAAAACAGAGAAACCAGAAAACCCCACAAACCCAGAAAGCTTCTGGCAAAAAGATCACATCTTTTAGATGATGGTGTTCTCTGGGTGCAGACAAGTTTTTTGACTGAAATATTGTGGATAAGGGTTGTTTTTCCTACTAAAGAGGAAAAAGATTCTCCAGAGTATAGAAAGTAAGTTAGTTAGCGCATGTATGTTCAGTCATGTCTGACTGTTTGCAACCCCATGGACTGTAGCCCCCCAGGCTCCTCTGTCCATGGGACTTTCCTGGCAAGAATACTGGAGCAGGTTGCCATTTCCTACTCCAGGGGATCTGCCTGACCCAGGGATCGAACTCATGTCTCTTGCGTCTTCTGCATTGGCAGGCAGATTGTTTACCACTGTACCTCCTGGGAAGCCATGTGAAGGAAGGGAAAATGAAAACAGAAAGGATGTGATAGCAGTACCTGTAGGTGACCTCCAGACAGAGGGCTTCTGCATTGCTGGAGGCCTGGTTGGGGCATCTTTCTTGGATTCTGTGGCTGGGTTCAAGAACCTTCCGGTACCTTCTCTGACCTCTACCATGTGGTGCATGGGCTGCACAGCAGTCTGCAGGTCTGGGTGGATCCCAGGGAAGCGGCAAGAGCACGTGGTGTGGGGTGCAGGGAGGGGAGACGGGCTGTAGCCCTCAGAACTCCATTTGTCCTTTTCCTTCTCTCCCTCCGTGGTACAGATGAGTTCACGAGCTCAGCTTTGGCGGAAACCCAGGGAATCGCCGAAGGTCCAGGGCAGAATTGTGGGAGAGGCGAGTCCTAAATTTCTGGAAAATAATTTTCACAACCTTCTACCCCTGCTGCAGCATCAGAGTTTGACATGGAAATTAGGCAGAGTCAGATAAAACAGTTTCTCACACACCTGAGTTTGTGGATGAAGACTGATGACCTTCTTGGTCAGATACATTCGTTTCCGTCAGTGTGGAAAATCAAGAGCTGACTTCCCTTCTCAGTCATCCCAAGCACAACGGTTACATTTTGGCTGAGCACCAGCAGCCAACATCAGGCAAGTGTTAGAATGGGTTATTTGTGTTTTGTGTGCTAGATTTTGCTTCATTGCAATGTACTGTTGTTCATTTTGAAGAACTGCTTTTTCTTCATTTGATTATGAAGTCTATTCTTAATTGAGACAGGGTGAATCACTGGGTTTCATTAGCAAGCTCTTGAGAGAGATTTTCATTTTCTTTAACATAGAACCAATGAAATAACAGAAAAAGAACACGTTTATCTTATATAATTTTTTCCCTCCTCTAATACGTAGCAGGTTTTGTGGAAATAGTAACGTAACAGCTGTGCTGAATAATTCTTCAACCAACCAAAGAGCAATGGGATTATGCTAAGAGTTCCTCTGTTTTCTAATATGGTTTGTCTCATCCTTCACCTGAGAAAAAAGCAAGCAGAGAAAATAGAGAACGTGAGCTATGGTAAAGCTTTCCTCTGGCAAAGCAGAAGGGAGCCCGTGATGTTATTCTGGACCAAGGGAAAATGTGTGTGTTCTCACAGTGTTATTTTGTACACGAGGGTATTTGACAGTTTCTGGAGACATGTTTGGACACCCCTACTGGTGGGGAAAAGCGCAGAGGTTGCTACTAGTGGTAGCTTATGGTGAAGGATGTCGGGTTCGTGATCTTTGAAGAAGATTTAGCTTCGGGACCAGGGACCAGGCTTGATCACTCAAAAGCTTTTGTGTAGCAGAGTTTTATTAAAGTGGAAAAGAGACAGAGAAAATTTTTGACATAGACATCAGAAGGAGGACAGAGAGTGCCCCCTTCGCTAGTCTAAGCAAGGGAATTATATACTTTTTAAATTAGTTATTACGGTAAATCAAAAGAACATCTCAAGGTTGTAAAGACCTAACTAGACCCACTCCCATAATTTACATTTTAAGATAACAGGATTAGCTAGAAGGTTTTCAGGAAGGAGAAACTGTCCTCAAGCAGGATACATTGGTATATAATCCTTAGAACAGAGTTTAAACTGAGTTGTTTGTTGTGTGATCATCAGTTGTAGTCTTAAAGAAAAAAAAAACAAAAAAAAACGTTTTATGTGACTAAGGAATGTAGAAAAAAAATGTTCGTCCTTTCCTCCTCCTTGAGG